CGAAATGTGCCTCTCCGACACATTGCGAACCCACTGCCTCGCCTGCAACGAGAAAATAAGCAGCTTCTCGACCCCGTGTCCTTGCCCGACGCTCGTCGCGCTCCGCCGGATCGCTTTTAGAAATCGCCGTAGCGGCGACCCGCCACGAGGGGTGCCCATGGAAGCCTGCCCGGACGGGATACGCGAATTACCGCACCGCATACGCCTCGAAGAACAGTGCTGGGAGTGTCGCAAGGCCGGGGTGAAAATTACGTGGGGAGGGGACTCGGGGGAGGACGAGGAACTAGTCGTCGTGGAAAGGTTGGAGCTGGGGCCGAGACGGGAAACACCTCCGGAGATTGTTTGGTTGCAGCGGAAAGAATTCCTGCGCGGGTGGTGGAATCATTTTCTAACGCGTGGTTGGGGGACGAAGAAGGTGAACTAAATATGGCGGTGAGGGTCCGAGGGATTGACGATTGACTGTTGGACCGACTTTACGGTATTCATCACGTCCCCATGGGAGCATATAACAACGCATCTCGTCAGCGCCTGTGGTAATGATATTCATTGTATGATTTGTATCAGACCTGGCCAATTTTGTCCCGCATTCCCTCTCTTCTTACCCATGCTGTTTTTTTTTTTGTGTAGTCTTCCTCCATTCCCCTGAGCCCATCCATATATCCCATTCCGATTCGGTCGATTCTCCATGTGTTCAGTGTTCTCCTCCATCAATCCGTCCGGTAGGCCCCAAGCCCTCTTTCCGCCGGAGTCTTATTCGCCCGACCACTCAGCTCGTCTAGCCTGACGTCCCGTAGTTTCTCCTTGGCCTTCTCTCCCATGGACGCCACCTTCTTCTCGATCTCTTGATCAGATGCCCTGCGCGGCTTGGCGGTGACGTATAGCAGTGTCGCGATCACGACGGCTGCGCCGGCAACTGTCATGACAAAGTTCCTGCATGTGGCGACAAGAAGTCAGTACTACCCTACCCGTTTCCCCATTCCGCCTAATGCTCCGGGCCAGGAGTCAGGACTCAGAACGGTGGTTCGTACCTGTCTTGCAGGACGCCCGGAGGAGTCTTGGGTGGAGGATCCTGTCCTCCGGGACCACCGAGGTTTTCTTTGTCCTGAGCGTAAAAGCGTCGTGATATAAGGGGAGCAAAGGCCGATGGTCGCGGTCTTGCGACGGCGAGCCTCCGAAGGGTGATGGCCCTCGATGTGGACATGGTGGGCGACTTTGGCGCAGTTCGATCTGGCGGATTGGAAATTGGGGTTCTTTTTCTTTTTCTCTCTCCCCTCTCGTTTTGCTGCACGGATAGATCAGACTGGCTTTTTTTCCCTGGACCTTTGCGGAGGAAAAAGCGTTTGTCCTACCAGCTACCAAGTACATCTATATATGTTTTGGCTTAACTGGGTGGTCAGAGCTACGGTTTGGAAGCCCAGCTCATGTCGCGTCATAGGTGCATCATGGATGATGTGTAGACTCGTGTTGTCTTTTGCGGGCGATCGTCGGAAAGGACTCCGAATAAGGGGACCCACACAAATCGGGTTCCCGGTGCGGGGAATGCGGGGCTCACCGGGGGGTTGATTGACGAATCGGTGCGGGGCCGAAATGGAAGTCGTGCCGACCGCGGTTGACCTCGCCCTCGCGGAACTCGAACCGCTGCACCGGCGACACCAACTCAAGTATAACATAGAGTGTGGGGTGACATTTGCATTTCAACGTCGTCTATCGTTTTGGGACATCTATAAGACTGTTCATTCCAAACGGTCTTGATACATGTACCAATGGTATGTGTGCATGACCAGCAATTTCGTCTAGGCCAAAACCTTCCTCCTAACCCCAAAGTCGCTCGTCAAGAGCGTATGCTTCAACGTGAAATAAAGTACAATATAAACGAGTGGTAGAATCAAGACAAACAGAGTACCCGCCTCTTTAACGCCTTCTATCTTCTCTCATGAGCGGAACGTCCTGGCAGAGCGCTTCTTGTAAGAGCCGCAGTTGCCCACGGGACCAGTAGTCCTGTAAGTGTTCTTGGAGACGTCCGGGCCGGGTTCGGGGAACTCAAGATCCGCCCCCTCGAGGGTCTCGCAGCCGTTGGCGACGTTGGCGACGAACATGGCCGGGCGCTGGCTCAACTTCCGACCACCGTCGGGGGCGCGCTTGTTGGCACTCCCGCGGATGGTGACGGGGGCGCAGTTCATGTACATCTCCCGGTTTCCGATCTGGTTGAACCAGGACCAGGCGAAGAGGGCCTCGCCGGCCTGGGTGTCGGGCGGCAGGGCGAACTCCCACGTCGGCGTGAGCGGGCAGTTCCCGATATAGGAGTGGATGACCGTCCAGGTCTTACCGCCGTCGTAGGAGAGGGAGGCCTGGCAGCTGCCGCCCCCGTGGGTGGCGGTGCCTGTGACGGTGAAGTTATAGGTTTGGCCGGCCTGCCACTCGACCACGGGTTTGCCCTGCGCTGTGCTGAGCACGCTGTGGTGGCCCTTGCAGGGGAAGTTGCTGCCATCCGGCTCCAGCGGGCTGTTCATGGTGTAGTCGATGTTGGTGGAGTGGGGGTTGTACTTGGACCGGAGGGGAGGGGGCCAGATCATCTCCATGTGTGCCTGGGCCATGGTGGCCAAACCGAGGAGAGCTCCGAAAGCAGCGGTGTACTTCATGATGGCGCTGTTAAGAAGAGTTGTTGGGACTATCCAATGGATGAATGATAGGAGTGAAGAGGATATATTTTCTCTTTTCTGAAGGAGTGTTATCACACGAGTCAATCGTGGTTGGTCGAAGATATAACACTGAATGTAAGGAGTGGAAGGAGAAGAGCAACTGTAAAAGAAAGAAAGTAATGTTTGTAGTAGTGGCTTGAAGACCTATGACAGGGGCAGGAGAGACATGTTTGTTTGAGGGTGCCATGGGCTTTCATTTATACTTGTCTTGCCTCCATCTCAGAACGGGATGGGAGACATCGCCTCTACCTCGGAAAAATCAGAACCATCATCGAGTATTCCCGAGAAGAACATGAATCCAAGTTCAGGCAAGTCCACAGGCAAGTCCCTCATAGAAAGGTCAGGAGGATCCCCACCTCTGCCCAGATCGTGGCCATTCAAGTTGATCCCTCCAGAGTCCTGACTCCTGAGTCCCGACTCCTGAGTTCCTGACTCCCTCCTATCTTCCTAGCGGCCTGTACCCACGGACCCCACCAATACCGTGATTGTCTCTCGCGCCCTCGTCCGACCAGGGGCGACTCGTCTGAAGTCGTAGTTCACCGTTTTATCTCATGTTTGACCAGGACAAGATGGCGAAGTGGGGGTTGTCCAGGAGATGAAAATCATGAAATTCAACGGTCATCTTACTAACAAGAGCCGGAGCCAATCAAATTCAGTCAAAACTCAGGAACAAGAGGGGATGCCAGGCACTCCCGTCTAGTATACAAATGTATTGAGTCAATGCATCTTCGTAGACCTTGTTCATGAATAATGTCCTCTGTAGAAGTGTAAGCAGACGTCGTGGTTGGTGGATGTTCGTACCTGAGATGAACGATGTACACGTGTAGTGGTGGAGACTGGAGACCACCCTGGGGCACGTTCCACACCGACTACACCGACTACACCGATTCATGTACGTTGTAAGTGACCCTCAAGTCGCCCCAACGTCTCTTGGCAGTTGTCAGTAGGGCGCTAATTATCTTAGATTTTCCACTTTTCCACTTTCTCTTCTTCTCCCTCTTCTTCTTCTTCCATTCGCTTTCTGCCTCGTCTTTTACTTTTCCTGCCTAAATTATTCATCAACAGCCCTTTTTATCCAGTCGAATGATTTTCATGTCCGGAGTGATCTTACAAGTTGCTACATTCCCACGATTGAGATGCATTGCATGTATCTCAATTGCGACGACCTTGAACGACTCGAAGGGCTCCAAGAGTCCCACCTCACTGGGTCTGGCAGAATGTCAGTACGTGTAACGAAGGTAACTCTGTAGCTCTCGTCTGAGTCGTCTCCGTCTCATCACTCATGGCCCTCCTCCACTCTTATTCATCAGGCATGCGAGGCTATGAGCTTTCCTCCCTAAGACCGAAGTTCTCGAAGCATCTAGACGATGCACTATAAAATGACGAGTCGTACAATGCACTCCGCTATGCAACTCAACACGTGGCGACGTGGGTCGCTAAGCGCGATCTTCAATCTCCATCCATCCGCCCCCTTCCAGGAACAGGTTCACAACATGCGTACCATGAGTCCTCTGTCTCCAGGCAGCAAGAGTCGAGAAGCGATCCCGGGTGGCCTGTTTCACCTAAAAGCATCAGACTCTCTGACAGACGTGATCTACATCTTACATGGGCATTTTTCTAGAAGCGCTTCGGGGTCTGGGCAAGATGTACATGTAGTATGGAATCATGCTGCATTATAACCCATCATTAACGTCCCTCACACTATATATAGGAGGAGGACGACAAAAAATCATTTCCAAATGTGAGAGTGATAATCCCCGGAAAGGGGCACCAAAAGAATGTTCCTTCCATCCCTCCGAGTATCCTTACAAGTTACGGATGACCAGCGGTAGTACTGTCCATGGGAAACCGGTCGGTGAACCGGAACGTGGCCAGGCCCTCGCTGAACTGCCGGACAAACTGGTCATCCGCATTGCCGCTGGTGTAGACACCATCCCGGGAGCTGGAGATGCCGGCATCGGAAAGCACGCTCGCATTCGTCCCCAGCTCTCCAACGGGCTTGCCCCACCGGTACGCATCCGAGACGATCTGCAGGGGGCGGCCGGCCGGATAAAGCGGGGAATCATGGCCTCTGTCAAACAAGGCCTCGGCTCCCGCGCCAACAATGACGCCGTCGAACCCGGTTGCGTCGGCGTGGTTGTAGGTCATGTCGATGCCCTGGCCCAGTCTCTCGCCCACCACCGTCACAACGACGCCCTCGGGGCCGAACCGCTCCTTCAACTGCTGCGCCTGCCGTAGCGACTCCTCCGAGTTCACGCTCGACAGGATGCCGACCTTCAGCGTCGCGATGCTCGGTAGCCGCTCGCGGGCAGTAGAAACCCCGCTGGTCGTGTTGTCGTGGTAATATCTCCCGTCGGGTTCCAGGGCGTCGTGTCCGAGGAAGGAGGCGACGCGGTTAGCTATGTCGTTGCTCACTTTGTTCAGCTGAGTGAGGACGTTTCTCTTGACCCCGTCCGACTCGACGTTGGACGTTTCGAACCGAATCGCATTAATCAACTGCTGTTGCTCGACGGGGGTAAGGGAGTTATAGAACAGCCGAGTTTGCGACCAGTGGTCACTGAAGGTGTCCGGCACCTCGCGCACGAGGTTTCCCACGGCGGTACGTCCGGGCGCGGTGAAGAAACCCCTCCCGTGAGTCTGGTTGGCCTGTCTGGGTGATCCGTTGTTCAAGGTGTTCGGAGAGTCTGGACAGTCGTTAGAACTGGGCACAAACCACAGCATCACCCGGCCGGCCGGTTCGGCCGTTTTGAGTTATCAAAAATCAATCACACTTACAAGGTCGATTGTTGCGGTGAATGAGATTCTGGGCCTGCCCGTCGCGGTTGTTGTTGTGCACACTCGGTATGGGCCGGTTGATGGGCACCTGCTCAAAGTTGGGCCCCCCGTGGCGGCTCAGTTGAGTGTCGAGGTATGAGAAGAGGCGACCCTGCAGCAGAGGGTCGTCACTGAAATCAATGCCTCGGACGACGTGACCGGGTTGGAACTTTGGGGGGTTTCCGAGTCAGTTGGCTTCCGAGTCACACTGTAGCAAACGAGCGAGAGTAAAGTCGGAACCTAGTACATACCATGATCTGCTCCGTCTCGGCAAAGAAGTTGACCGGGTTGGCATCGAGCTTTAGGCGACCGAGCGGCTGTAGCGGCACATCCTCCACGGGAAGGATCTTGGTAGGATCCAGGAGATCAAAGCCGTAGGCGAGAACATCCTCTTCATTCACGATCTGCACGCTGACCTCCCACTCGGGGCCATGGCCCGACTCGATGGCATCCCACAAGTCCTGGCGATGGTAATCGGCATTCTTTCCGGATAGCACCTGGGCTTCCTCCCAGACCAAGCTAGCGAGGCCTTGCTGTGTCTTGAAGTGCCACTTGGCGAGCTTAGATTCGCCCGCATCGTTGACAAAGCGGTAGGTGTTGACACCAAAGCCGTCCTAGATCATTGTTAGAATTTGGCGTGTCCTGCTGGTGTCCAGCAACATGTTTTGTAACTTTTGTTGCCTGTCCGGGAGGCCAACAATGAACATACCATATGCCGAAAGCTGCGAGGGATCCCGTGCCCAGACATAGCCCAGAAGAGAGTATGAAGGCTAGTGGTCTGCTGGCTGAAGAAGTCCCAGGCAGCATCATGCGCCGTGGCTGCCTGTGGGATCTCCTTGTCCGGCCTCGGCTTGACGGAGTGAATCAAATCGGGGAATTGGGCGGCGTCATTGATAAAAAATACGGGGATGTTGTTGCCAACCATGTCGAAATTTCCCTATAAATGGTCAGGTTGTGTCCGGCCTCTTTTGCGTCAGGTGGACTTACTTCATCGGTAAAGCTAAGTATGTCGGTCAGCACAGGTCAAGACTTCCAAGTCGCCAGTGGAGGGTAAAGAGGGAAGAAACGGTTTGAACATAGGAGAGCAATGGGGCAATGGAGCACTGGAGTCCCAACGTACAATCTGACAGCAAATCCGTGGACATCGCGAACTGTGTCGGCGCTGCCTCGAGAACCGACAACGGTCGAGAAGCGGACGAAAATGGGCGTGGTCTTCTCCTCCTCGGAGAGGAAGGAGGCGGCGGTGAGATTGCTGAAATCGCCGTAGCTGGTAAAGGTTCCGTAGGCACCTGCGCCACGGGCATGGACGACTCGCTCAGGGACCTGTTCACGTGCGAGGGAACTGATGTCAGATTTTGACGCGCCACGCAAGACGAAAGTCACGAAAGGGAAGAAGACCACTCAGGTCTACAAGGAGTGTCAGCAAGTGACTACTGAGAACTTACCCGTTCATGGTCGAACCGAGTGATCTTCTGGCGGAGGATGAAGTCCTCGAGCAGGGTCGAGCCGCGAATGCCGGCCTTAAGGCTGACCATGTCGGCAATGGGACCAGCAACGTCCGAAGTCATGTAGACATCGCTGTCGTCGACCTCGTACTGCCGCATGTGGTCACGGGAGCCGACGGATGCGCCGTCGGATCGGGCCTTGAGAGCTACGCCGGGATTTGCAAAGGGGCATTGAGCCGCGGCGAGGGTGGCCATGCCTAGGCCGGCCAGGAAGGGTGAGGTACGCATGGCGGGCGGCACGGATTCTCGTTCACACAGAACGGAGGAACGTTGGGATTCAAGGAAGGGAGGTTATCCGTATTGTTCGAGGGCCGGAGAACTGAGGGCGACCTGTAGATCAGCAAACTTTTTGCTCTAGTAGGGATCCCTAGCAGCGAGAGAGATTGGCGGCGGCCTCGAGGAAAGGGAGAGACATCGGGATCGTGCAGGACTAACCTTCTTATATCTATCTGTCACCTGTGCTGGCCCTGGCTGGGGGGGTTCCATCTTGCGGCTGGTCACCAAGTAGGTGGAGAAGACTCCCAACGAAGAGGGGGGGGGGCTGGTGAACGGACTCTCGGGCGAGCGTGGCGAGATGCTTGCATGCATGCATGCATACTTCTGTCAGAAGCTAAAGTGGGATGGATGTACACGTACGTCGGACTGCTTGGGAGGTCAGGACTCGGGACGGAAAAATGAAATAGGTAGGTAGGGAAAACGAGCTTCAGACGATCGTACCAGTGTTAACTGACGATCTCTCGCCCAAGGTAGCTCGGTACCTTAGGTACCTTCCTAGGCATTAGGTGTACTCAAAGATACACGGAGTATCCGTACTGGGGAATGTTTTCGGGAACCCGAGTGTGAGAGCGATTCACAGGGCACGAAGTACTTCATACTCCGTGTCTGACTTTGTTTGGCCAGAGGTATCAGCTGTCTTCTGGAGAATAGCGTCACAGTATGAGTCTTTGACGATCCCACTTATTCCGTAGCAAGTACCTTGCCGTGTTAATGCAGAACCAGGCAAGTACAGAAGCACAGGCCGCGGATACTTAGGCAAGGATCCAGGAAGAATGGCTTGCGTAAGCTTCCCCGGTCGTACGGAATAGAGTTCTTCAGGGACCTTGGCGCTATAACGTGTTGTAAGGTATAGGTGGGTAGGAATATGGGTGGAGATGGAAGCAAATGTAACGGTGCTAGCCCGCGTAGTGTAGGGACCGAACGCGGACGTCGATCGGGTCGCAAGTTTTTAACTTTCCATTAACTAATAGGGACTCTGCAGGGGAGGAATAACGGGTGATAATGCCAACAGTTGATAAACCTGGTTGGTTGTAGGGGATCTGTCCGAAAGGGATGTTGGGACTGTTGTCTCGACTCGGCTTAGTGCGAGCAAAGATAGGTACCTAATGAAGGTACCTTATATCGTAAGGTACATGGACGTGGTCGGTTTGTCGACTTACGCCAATCTCAGTGACAAGCCATCACTTCTGATCACATGTGTCTCATCTTACTTGTGATTAGTTCACTGTGCCGCTGCCCGTTACGTCCACACAGCTTAAGGACGTCGAATACAAGTATACCGGCATACGTAGTGCATAATAATAACCCGAATACATGTGTAGAAAAATAGAGCGCCGGTTATCATGGTCTTAGTAAGGTAGGTATATATAGTGGACGTGTACCTTATGTAGACTGTAGTAGCACAAACAGCGGAGTCGTCCATTGGATGGGGTATGGAAGTTCAGTGTACGAATATATTACGAAGAACTGGTATTCGTACATGCACGACCACAAACCATGGCACTGGCTGATGTTTGTGTCCAGGGCTCCAAGCTCAGCCATGTGATTTGTTTATTCTCCCTTTGATCCATAAGGTTACTGTCGTGCAAGGTACGCAAGCTATAGCGCTAAAATAACAATAAGACTCGACGTGGAAAGAGGTGAGACTTCATACTTCGCACAAAACACAGGTATTAATTAGTTCAAAACTCATATTACCAACTCAAATTACTTTGTATACTTTGTCGTATAATGCCGGGAAAATAGCTCCGAGACGTGACGTTGTCAGGGGCCCGCTGCCAAGACGCGATAAAGGGACAGGGCGAAGCCAAGACCCGGCAGTTGTAAGGTACGTACCCTCAAACCATTGAGGTACCTTGTCCAGATCCAGGGGCAACCAAAACTCGCGGTCTTACTTGGTACGTTGTGTATGTGATTGTTTCTTCACCGATAGGCGGCCTGAGCCTGGGGCAGTTAGGGGACTTGGCCACCATACCCTTCACTGGCTCTCAACTTCCACAGCATCCACAACTTACGGCAGGGTGATACAACCAAGACTCGATGTGAGGCCATGTCTCATACTTTACAGTGTTGGACCTAGCGACATTTTACAAGACAAGATGGCTGGGAACTTGTTTTGCCAAACACGGAACTAACGTCGGGGTCCATAGCTCAAAGCAAAGTCCGAATCTCGGATCTCGTAGCCTAAGGTAAGGTAGGTATCCAGGTGCAACGTACACAACTTACACAACTCAAATATTCCCTGCCGAGATCGGGTTTCCTTGCTCAGGTCGCACATCAGGAGATTTTGCCTAGAATGTCACTGACGTGGAGGCAGCCCTCACGAGGAAATAGCCGCCGGTGAACAACTTGTTAACGCCGATCGGACCGTCCTTGAGGACTTGGGAATTTACAAGTAGAACGACCTTTGAGTACCTATAGAGTACCCGCAATTCCCTCTGTGATCCCCTCGAAGAGGGTCGGGTCGGCACTTCCCTTCAAGCCGGTACCTTAGATTGGTCAGTAACACGAACACGCCGGCATAATGAGGCCCCATAGTTCCCCACAACATTCCATTGACCAATCGGAGACTGACCACCGGATGACAGATGGTTGTGTATGTAATTACTCCGTATCAATAAAGTCCACAGGACAACATCCATCCTAACGTCGCTGCGCCGCTGCAACCCTCCCTTACCAAATGCCGCAGGACAAGTTGAGATTTCGTTCTACCACTTTAATACTTAATACGGCCTACGGAGAAATAACTGCATATACGCATGCCAATATAGGTGGCTGACCCGCTACACATGCACGATGGTTGCCAAAAAAAGAACATACCGCCAACCAGTTCCGCTCTCCCCCCCACCGAGGGCGACCCTAAGACAACACGCAAACTGGGCCAAGATATTTATCATCAAACATGTCCCCCTCGAGATCATGTCTTCGTCCACACATTTCGACTCTGTAGCCGCCCGAGCTCCACGATGCCTGCCCACTAGGGGATTGTTTTCCCTTTAAGGATTCTATTTTCGTCTCGTACTCTACGATGCATCCGAACTTGATCCCACTCTCGATTTTGTCGATCAACA